TCTGAACTCTTCAAATTGAGGGCGAGGCTTAAGGTGGGAGGTTCCGACGTTTACGCCACTGTTAGTGCAGTTATTACCCAAATAACTGACACTACCTAACCCACGACCACTATCACCTCTGCGAATACTACTACTACTGCTGCTACTACTACTACTGCTGTTGTTACTACTACCACTGCTGCTGCTACTGCTGCTACTACTACTACTGCTGTTGTTACTACTACCACTGCTGCTGCTACTACTACTACTACTACTACTACTACTACTACTACTACTACTACTACTACTACTACTACCACTAAAGCAACTACAACAACAACTACAACAGCCACTACTACTACCACTACTACTATTACTACTGCGAAAACAACTGCTGCTGTACTACTACTACTGCTACTACTACTACTACTACTACTACTACTACTACTACTACTACTACTACTACTACTACCATTACTACTACAACAACTACAACAGCCACTACTACTACCACTGCTACTATTACTACTACAAAAACAACAACAACTGCTGCTGCTGCTATATTACTACTACTACTACTACTACTACTACTACTACTACTACTACTACTACTACTACTACTACTACTACTACTACTACTACTACTACTACTACTACTGTTGCTGCTGCTGCTACTACTACTACTACTACTACTACTACTACTACTACTACTACTACTACTACTACTACTACTACTACCATTCTTCTTCTTCTTCTGCCTTTCTATCCCCCAATGGAGCATAGGCCCTCAACCAACTCACGCCAAGTCGTTCTATCCTTCGCCATTGCATGGAGCTCTCCCCATGTCCTCCCAATCTTTCTAACCTAGCTCTCCAGCTCTCTTCTCCATGTGTTTTTTTGCCCTTCCTTTATTCCTATGCCCCTGTGGGTTCCAATGCAAAGACATTCTAGTTTTGCTGTTCTCCTGTTTTCTCAGTGTGTGCCCTATCCAACGCCAGCGTCTTTTCCTCACTTCCTGATCCACTGGAGCCTGTTTAGTTCTCTCCCAAAGTTCTACATTAGTTATTCTATCATACCATTTTATTCCCTCTATTCTGCGCAGGCACCAGTTAATGAATGTCTGTAATTTATTAGTAATTGCCTTGGTTGTTCTCCATGTTTCCGCCCCATACAATAGTACTGATTTGACATTAGAATTAAAAAATTTTAGTTTAGTATTTCTTTTAATTTCTTTTGACCTCCACAAATTCCCTAGTGCTATAAAAGCCCCTCTTGCCTTTTGTATTCTTATTTTAATATCTCTATCAGTTCCTCCATCTTTATCTACATTACTGCCTAAATAGGTGTACGACTCCACGTCTTGGTTTTTGACTTATCCATGGTTGGTTGGTTTTTGTGGCTATGGTTTTTACAGGATGAGGTAGCCAACCTCAAGCCCAACCCTACCCTTAGTCGCCTACTACTACTACTACTACTACCACCACTACTACTACTACCACTACTACTACAACAACTATAACAACAACTACAACAGCCACTACTACTACTACTACTACTACTACTACTACTACTACTACTACTACTACTACTACTACTACTACTACAACAACTACTACTACTACTACTACTACTACTACTACTACTACTACTACTACTACTACTACTACTACTACTACCACAACTACTACAACAACTACAACAACAACTACAACAGCCACTACTACTACCACTACTACTATTACTACTACTATTACTACGTTACATGGCGTGACCTTTACACGACGTCAGGAAACCAGCCCAAGCATCTTTTTACGTTCAACAGTTTGCTACTGACTGGTCGGCTCTCGATACCATTGTCGAAATCAATGCAAGGCGGTTTGCTGCCAAATCATCTGCAACTGGGCACCTCGGCATTAAGAAGCACTTTCGCAATGCATAAGCCATCAACGACTACTACTATAACTACTACTATATTATTATGACTTTGGATTGCGTATTTCATCGATATGTTGTATACACTACCAGCATTGTTACAGAGTTGATTTGAGTAGAGTTGAGTCCAGAATTGACACCGCAGCACTCAGGGCATTCCCTATGTTACAAGGCTTAACCACAGTCAACATAACCACCCCACCCGGATTACGTGTTTCCCTAAAATAGCTTTGGATATTCCCACTATGAATGTTATTACTTTTATAGAACTTAACCACAGCCAATATAAAGCCTCGAAACCATACTATGATTACTAAAGGATTTGGGTGTTTTCCCAACCGTCTAGGAGGAAAATCAAACATCCTTCTGTGTGCAGTCCGCTGAGAATACCACATCTTCCTAGATTATCATATTTTCCCTGAAAAAAGACCTCCCCCACCCCACCCCCGCCTTACAAAACAGTCTTTCCAAATTTTCAGGAAGCTTTTAAAAGTTAGTTGCGTATCCTTTACATGACGTTGCAGAACCAACCCCCAGCCCGTTTTGGCTGTTGTGGTTTTTCTAGGCGAGTTTATGTCCAGTATTTTGCTATTGCCCACTGGACGGTCGGCTTTTCGATACCACTGTCGAAACCTAGGCAAGGCGCAAGGTCCGCAGCTGGAATCGAACCCAGCACGCCGGCATTACAAAGCGTGTTAGCAACACCTAAGCCACAGACGCCCACCTGAATGCTTTTACTATAAGCCACATCCCAAAAATGAGCCAAAAAAAAAGATTGTCAGCTAGAATGAGAGACTTGCTGCCTAATGGCCAGTCGGACACGTACGATATGAACGGTATTATATATAACAGAAATTACCCACAACCCGCACACAACACTATAATTATGACTTTACCTCGTGTGTTTCTATCATCACTATTATAAAGGTTAACCTCCATTATTAGAGAGGTTAACCACAACCAACATACCAGCCGAAAACTTTTATTTTGTTTCCGCCCCAAATCGAGTCAACTTTTCAACGTTATTCTAGAAGCTAACAACAACCAACACCACAATTATATTATCATGACTTCTAGGCGTCTCCGTGGCCGAGCCGTTTGCCTCGCGGTCTGAAGGTTTTGGGTTCGTTTCACGGACGCGTCGTTCAGTTCACAAGTGCAATTTTACGGAGATCTCTGGAGCATCGTTGCCGGAGCTACGGAGGTCGTGCTCTGCGCGACGCTCTCGGCAGGCAGTTAGCGGAGCCAAATGGGATAAAACCCGGTACAATGAAGTCGATCCTCTCACCTTTTTTTATCAGGAGTGCAGGGTTGTGTGTTTCCCCGACCCCAACAAGGATAGATTTAGGTCAAGCTTCCTCACTGCTGGTGAAACGTCACATCTTGGCCTTGGCAGATTCTATACCAGGCAGGGCTTTTCAACTGGCGGTCCTCATTCTTCCCGCAGAGGCCTAGCCACTGACCCCCACGGGTCATTGCCAGTTGTTTTGCATTAATGACTTTCTACACTGTGAGTCGCCGTGGCGTAGAGGACAGTCGCTCGCTTGTAGATTGGAAGGTCGTGGGTTCGCTCCCTTTTTTTTAAATGACCTCGGCTCCCAGGTCGACCCAGCCTTGAATGAGTACCGGGTGCCGTCACGGGAAGTAAAAGCGGCCGGCGTGATGCTGACCACATTGCCCATCTTGTGCCACTTGGTTTATAAAAAATATAGGTCTAGCCCTATATGCCCTATACGCCCAAGGCGTGTAAAAGGGTCCTTTACTTTACCTATCTCTCTACACTACTGCTAAGGTCTCTGCCCCGTGACGATCCCCATTTGAAAGATGTTGGCTCCTAGCAATAAACTCAACCGAATAGCACTGTTCTTCTTCTTGGCGCTCACCAGCTGTGAATCTCCCGACAGAAAGTCCTGGTTATTCGTCCATTTCTGGACTTTGGTCTTATTCTAGAACTTGAGTTTTGCTTACATATCCGTTTTACATATGTGGTACATGTGAATGCAGACTTTTGGTTCTTCGCCTCTTAGTAATGTCCTGCGACCCAGATATTCGCCTTGTAAGACTTGCGTGCGAGAGACGGTACATTAAAACAGAAGTTACCTACAACTAACATAAAATCTATCCGACAATAATATTATAATGACTAATGGATTGCGTGTTTTAATCGGCTACTTGGTCTCCCACATTCTGTGTAGACTTTCATCATTATTACAGAAGTTGACCACGACCAGCATGAATATTATTGCAGAAGTTACCCCGATAAACAGAAAAAAGAAGCTAACCACAGCCTCACAACAATAGTCTCATGACTGGAGGATTGGAGGTTGCGTCGACTACTTGGTTCCCTGAAAATTCTGGATAGACTAAGGTGATTATTACATCAGTTAACACGACCAGCATAAATATTATTAAAGAAGTTAACAGAAGGAGTTGACTAAAACCCTCACAACAATATTCTCATGACTGCAGGATTGACGTTTGAGTCGGCTACTTGGTTCCCCACCCGCACCACCTCGAAATTCTGCATAGACTGGAGCCGGTCGTAGGTCATTATTACATCAGTCAACCACGTCCAGCATGTACATAATGACATCAGTTAACCCGATAAACAGAAGGAGTTAACCACAGCAATATTCTCATGACTGAAGGATTGCGTGTTTCCCCGACCCGACAAGAATAGATCTCGGTCAAGCCTCCTGCCTGAACACGCCACATCTTGGTAGCTTCTAGACGGGCAGCCGCCGTCGCCGGCCGCCGATTGGCTGAAACCCAAGGCCATGTGACTCAAGCTCCACGTCGCTGGCGTCGGCAGGGTATATAGCGATCGTCTGCAGGCCGCCATCGTTTGACTGACTGTGTAGACCAGTATGAATGTATGAACGCGAACGAAAGCTTTTGCTGCTGACTAGAGCTAGAAGAAGACATGTTTAGTCGTTCCAAGATATAGCAGTTTGAAGATTTTCCAAGGATATTTTGGATTTGCAGACGGATCAAGGTTGATTTCTAACGAGATCGGAGTTAAACGGCTTATTTGCTAACTAAAGTGCTACCAGCGAAGTGTTTAAGCGACGGAAACAATAGATATCAAAATGAGAACGGTAAGTTTAGTAATTTAGTTTTAAAAAAAGAATTTCTCCGTTTTATCATTCAGTTACTATGAGTTACTGCCGTTAATAATCGTGGTTACGTCTTCAATTAAATATTAACTTAGATTATTTCTTAGTTATAATCAGTTATTGATTACTAAAATATTTGGTGCAAAGAATCCTGGATTATGAAAGAAAAGCGAGAATACAGGTGTTAAAGCTGCTAAAATACAACGGGCACTGCTTTATTTAACTTTAGGTATTATTAAATTTACTCTCTTGTGTTAGGTGGGGTAACGTAAGTTATCAGTATCATAAAAATAAAAAAATTATGTGCACAACTTTAATTCCTCAGTCTTGCATGATTGTTTTTGATATAAACTTACTAAGCAGTGCCTGAACTGTCACTGTCTGCAATCTTGTTAAACGTTCTTCGATCGTTTTTCATTTACCTTAATTCAGTAGGATCTTGAAACACAAAGAGGCGCCAGGAAGTTGTAGGACTCGCGGAGAACTAACAGATACAATTGATAGATTTAAAGAGTTTCAAAATATAAAGGGGGATCTCAAAACTGCAAGCAATAAAAACTGGTGACCGGTAAAAAATTATTATTCTGTTCTTGTGGTTGATGTCACAAAGTTTCACAAAGCGTAGAAAAGAAAAGCTTTTCTGCAGGAACTGTCTGTCCTTATTTATCAGAAGACAATCGATTTTTCCCCCGATCTGCCATGTAAATAATGAGCTAGCTAGTGTGAATTGTGAATTATAAATACCTACCTAAACCCTAATGTCTTGTTGTTTCTGTTTATCAATAATCCACTTTGCAACACAGTAACTACTTTTTGTCACTTTTTGTTAAATTTGTTACTTACTTTTCCCTGTTTGTAATTGTGTGTGCCAGCTTTGTCTCTACCTTTTCTTTTGCTTGTACATACAGTCCTAGTCAAATTTTATTTACTCTAGGCTAGTTGACATTAACTTTTACCTACTCTGCCCTAGTTGTTGATTAAAATTCCTAGCCACTTATTGCTATCAATGTCATTTATCTCCATTATTTATTACTTTTAGTAACCTTTGCATCATTCTGTACCAGAAAAATGTAAGTTATTATTGATTTTAATTACAACTTCCTGGTACAGAATAACTATAGTTTACCATTTTAACTTCCTGGTATATAAAAGTTGTCGGCGAGCCTTTGAGGTTCATTGCTGCAGATATCACCCGCCTCCATTTATCTCTTTCCAGACCATGTGTCTGGATTTCTCTCTCCGTCTTCTTGTTCTGCCACGTCACACGACTGACATATTTGTATGCAAACTTTGTTCCCTGCCTCTTAGACAGATGGACTCTCGTCTTCGAAGAAAACCCCCCAGTTAGTTTACACTTTCTCCGTGTGGGTTCCGGGGCCCCATCGTGGGGAAAAAAAGAATAGACCCTCTGCCTGCCCAAAAGCATGTCGTAAGAGTCGACTAATTGGGGAGCTTCCTTTGAAGTCAGGAGTCCATCTGCCTGAGAGGCAAGAAACCAACAGTCTGCATTCAAGTGAATCAGATCTGTAAAACTGATGCACACGCAACACTCAGGTTCTGGAGCAGGACTGCAGTTCAGAAGTAGACGAACAACCAGAACTTTCCACTAGTGTACAGCTGGTGAATGCAAAGAAGTTTACACTTAAGCATGCTTATAGGGGAGACAGTGGGTCTCTTGTTTTCCCCCACAGTGAGATCCCAGATCAGCAAAAGTTAACAATCACTCTATTCATTTTACCTTCAGATTGAAGAAATGTCATCACAATCTGCCATTCGGCCGAACAGTTTGGAGTTGGACAATGCCCTCACTTTGGACATGGACTGCTTATTCTCTGACTTTGACAACAACAATGCCAAAAATACTCGTAACAACAGGAAAAAGAAGCGAAGAGCAGCCATAAAAAAATTTAAAGGTAAGCTTCTTTGAAGAGGCAGACGTCATTATCATCTATAATCTATTTCTTGGTCTTTAGTTTTCAGTCTTTTAAAATTTTTTTGCTTCAGTTAACACTCGTATCATTTTTACAAGATGCTAGTCACAGTGCTTATTGTTAATAGTAATTTCTATGCTTGAAATATAAAGGCTTTGTTCAGAATAAAAGTAATTTTTTTTTTTTTTAGTCTTCATTTTAATTTCTGGATGTGAATTTCTGTCTACCTTCCTTCTGTCTTTGCTCAAGGTTTCTATCTCTCCCTTTCTCTCGCTCTCTTTGTCCCCCTCCTTCCTCTTTTCTTGTCAAGGAATAGGGCAAGTTAAAATATATCTCACTTCATTATTTTCAGATTTATATGAGGAAACAGGCGAGTTTTTGGGCAATGGATCTTATGCTGCAGTGAAGACATATAGACACAAAGAGACAGGAAAGGAGTTTGCTGTAAAGGTAAGGAATTATGTCTGTTTTCAGTGCACAAGATCCCCGTATGGGTTCTGTTGTTCCACTATGGGGAAAACAAGAATAGACCCACTGCCTCCCCAACAAACATTTCAAAAGAGTCGATTAATTGTGGGTTTCTTTTAATGTCAGAGTGCATCAGCCTGAGAGGCAAGGAACCAGCAGTCTGCATAAAAATAAGCCAGATCTGTAAAGAGGATGTGCACAAACGAATTCAGTTTTTGGGACAAGACCAAATTCAGAAGTAGACGAACAACTGAACTTTCCCTGGAGTTTACAGCTGGTTAATACATACAGGAAACAGAAGAATACACAAGGAATAAAGAAAATCTTGTAAAGTATATTTTACTAAATATGTCTAGATTAAAATCAACAAATTTGATTTGTGTATATGTTATGAAATTAACATTTGAAGTTTTAATTACAATGATGTCTTGTTTTACTAATAACAATTGAGTTAATAATAAATTGTGTAGTAGGTCCTTTTGTAATTATCTCATAAGCCAACAATGTTAAGTTATCTATTCAAAATATCTGACCAAAGTTCCCCCTTTTCTGTCTTCAGATGATTAACAAATGCACCAGCCTTCAGCGAAGCAAAGTATTCAAGGAAATTGAAATCTTCCACCAGTGCCAAGGCAGTGAGAACATCCTGAACCTGGTGGAGTATTTTGAAGAAGATGATGTTTTCTACTTGGTCTTTGATAAGATGGAGGGCGGCACACTGCTGAGCAACATCGAGAGCCGGGGTCACCTCAGCGAGTACGAGGCGTCACTTGTTGTCCGAGAAATTGCCTGCGCCCTGAATTTTCTGCACCACAAGGGCATTGCACATAGAGATTTGAAGCCTGAGAACATTCTGTGCCAAAAGGTCGGTGAAGTTGTTCCGCTCAAGATCTGCGACTTTGACCTTGCCAGTGGCGTACCGCTGAGCGTGAACAGCAGTGATGGCAGCAAGACACCCGAGTTGTTGACGCCGGTGGGCTCAGCTGAGTATATGGCACCAGAAGTTGTGGATGCTTGGGTGGGGGAGTCTTTCTCCTATGACAAAAAATGTGATCTCTGGAGCTTGGGGATTATTCTGTAAGTATTCTCACTCGCTCTGATGTTTTTCTTTGAAACTGTTGGGTTCCCATTATTTGGCTATTATCCTTTTAGGGTTCTGGGGTGCCATTTGGAGAGCAAAGGGGTGGGGGGAATATACCCCTTCGCTACAAGGCAACTAATTATGGGTTTGCTGAAATCATTTCTTTTTTTAAATGTTTGCAATGTCACAGCCTAGCTGTAAACTGCAACACAGTGTTCCAGCAACCCTTTTAAAGGTGAAGAAGATGAAAAAGTAGTAGGTTTACTGTATATATACACCATAAGATAATTTGGGTGCCTTTAGTCATTTACTCTTTGCATTTTACCTCCTTAAAAGTAATAAATGAGGATTGTTTAGTAGTGATTTCCCTGAAAGATAATTTGCTGAAAAATCTGTTGGGCCTGAAGGGGTTAATTAATGTGTTCTTGTTTGTAGTAATTGAACATATATTAGCAGTAACATATGTACTGACTCTTAGTGGCATTGGTCCAGCAATATCACTCTAACCACCCACAACTAAGGGTGTAGGTTAACGAATGTCGTTTTGTAAATTTAGTCAATGCCAGAGGCACATTGGATATAGGATATATGAGGCTAGACTTTTTTTTAAAAAGACCTACTTGCCCACGAAGGGTTGTGTGTTCAATATCAGGCTGGCTACTTTTGCTTCCCAGGACTTAACCTGGTACCCATTTAAGGCTGGATCAGTCTGGGAGCCAAACCCCCCCCCCCCCCCCCCAAATCCAGCTTTGTTGCCCGGTCAGTTAATAAAAAACAAAACAAAAATTATTGTGGCTGCAGTTGTGTTTTGTTATTTACTGTAAATTTTCACCTTTTTATTTTTTGTCCTCAGATATATAATGTTATGTGGCTATCCACCCTTTTATGGCCAGTGTGGGGAGGAATGTGGCTGGGAAAGAGGAGAAGCTTGTCAAGACTGTCAGGAGTTGCTTTTCAATTCTATTCAGGAAGGCGTGTACGAGTTTCCCAGGGAAGAATGGAACTGTGTGTCAGAAAGTGCCAAGGATTTGATCCGACACCTGCTGGTCCGCAACCCACGCAATCGTTACTCAGCTGAGGATGTTCTTCAGCATCCCTGGGTGGCCAAGCCTCAGGCAGTGACTCCGCTGGCTACACCTCACATTTTGACCAGGTATGTTGACTTGTTATTTCTGTAAGCTAGTAACATCTTTGTTGTGAGAAATTAGAAGTTTCATAAGGTGCTGTAAAAGAATTTTTTATTTTATTTCTAAATTAGGTGGGCTGAAACATAACCTTCAGAACATTATATATATGTATATATAAATAGTTTAGATATTGTTTATAGGTAACATTGTGTAAATTGACTTGAGAGCAGTCCTGAAAATGAATGACATGGGAAATTGAATAAAGTTATTTCTTTGGTGGGTTTTTCCTACCTCCCTAATTAATGAAGCTCTCAAAGGGTTAAAAGTCACTGGGTTAAAACACCAGCATAGAACTTGGAATGTTTACAAAAACTGGTGATATGGGTTACAAGACCAGCATAGAGCTAGGAATGTTTACAAGAACTGTTGATATGCGGTGGTATGGGTTAGAACAACAACATAATTGGGAATTTTTACAAGAACTGTCAATATCCGGTGATACCATACACCTTCTGATCTTTAGGTAGTAAGAAAGTTACCTAAGCTTTTGTTTCTTGATACAGGAAAAAAAAAATGTTAGTAACTGAAATGCTGAATGCAGTTCCAGACCAACAGGAATAGACCCCTTGCCTCCCCAACAAGCATGACCTAGGAGCCCAACTAATTGGGGGTGTCCTTTGAAGTTGGGAGTTTCCTGAGAGGCAAGGAACCAAGAATATAGAAATAAGCCAGATCTGCGAAAGAGATGTGCACACAGAGTTCGAACAAGACCAGAGTCCGGAAGTGGATGAGCAACAGGTGTTACTCCTGAGTTTACACCCTGTGAACACGAACAATATATTATCCAGACTGGCAAAGCAGAATGCAGATTGGGTATTTTTTATATATAATGATAATGTTACACACATGAAGTGTACGTTCAGATGGGAGAGAGAGTATTGCTGTGTCTGTGAGTAGACAACTACTGCTGAAGATGCGGGATTTTACAAACATTTCACCTTCTCCATGCAGTGGTGGTCTCCTTGGCATCACTTGTATGTACTGTCAGATCGCTGGTCCCTCTTTCCAAGTTTAATGTGTGCCTGTCTCTTTATGTTTGCAGAAACAACAGCACAAAAGACTTGGAGTCATTTGCTGAGACAGCCATATCTATCAACCGGATGATGCAGCAACACCTGATCATCTCAGGAGGGCCTCAGTTTTATGCCGGTGGTTCCAAGCCGGCCAAAGTGTTTGAAGAGAGCAGCGGAGACGACGACGAAAACCACAGCGACACCGACTTAGATTCAGGTCTCATTTTCGACTTTAAGACCAGCGTCAAACTTTCTCCACCGGGACTTTCGGCTCTTGCCAAACGACGTGGGAACGCCTTTCACGCCTCTGCTAACTGCTTCACAAACAGCAGTCGCCGCCGCCCAGTGATTCCCATGCATCACTCGGCAATGGGTAGTGTGGACAGTATCATTGTCAGTTCAGGGAGTTGGCAGTGAAGGTGACAACCCTGGCAAAGACAGTACATGCCTGCTCCTGTGTTTTTCAAAGAGCTCTCACGATTTTACCAGACAGTGAACTGTGAGAACGTGGCACATCAGTTGTCGCCTGCGGGTTGAAGCAGATCAATTGCCTTCTCCACACCCACAGTCCAGCTGCAGAATGTGGAGTTTTAACAGCAGTAGAGTTGATACTTAAACCATGACACTGTGTTAAAGACCATTCACTATAAATGGAACTTGTTGACTGAGATGCCATCATTTTTATGACATTGGTGAAACATCACTTAGTCTGCTGCTTGTTCACTGTATCACTCAGTACCCAAATTCAGGGGGACATCACAGGAGAGTGAAGTGAATGTCTTTGACATCTTCCACTGCCCCATCCTATGTCACATGTTTGTCATTCAGATTCTTTGTCTTTTTTTTCTCTCTCCATCCTTCTGCTCCAAATCGCCGTCTTATGTGGGTAAATACAGAAATGATCACCAAAATGCCAGGTGAGAAATTGGCAAAGCTATTGCTCTGCCAGTTTCAGCAGGGAACATTCACATATCAGTCAGGGATAATCCTAGACTTATGCAGCTACTTTTTTCAGCTCTGTTCACACTTCTTAATCTGGTAGTTTTTCCTTGTTTTGGGGGGTCCCTCATAAAAGACTTAACAACTCGTAAGCTGACACTTAAAATTTTTTTTCCCCTAAATTAGTTTAGAAATTTGTCTGTTTTTATTATTATTATTATTATTTTTTGTGTGTGCAAAAATTTATGTCAGCAATGTTTTGTTTGATTTTTGGATTAGAAAACTAAAAATTTAGTTTTTACAGTGCATATGTGACTGGCATTATTGAAATTTTACTTAACTTTAGTAAAAGCCCAACTTATTTTGCTTCAGCATAACAAAAATGGCATCTGTTGATACATAGCTAAAATCGGTCATAATTCTATTTATTTATAACCTGTTAAAATGCGTAGAGACCTAAAGATATGTGTTTGGCATAGGTCTTGTTTTAATCTACCCAGAGATGGCGATGATGATGAAAGCTCTGTGGTAAATGGACTAACAGCAGACTGAACATTTTAGCAGAATCATTCCAGACTTGCATTGACATATCCAGTTTTTTTTTTAGTGAACATCATTCATGACTTGTCACCGTCATGATTTGTTTCCATCCATAACTTGTCAACATATTTATGTCACGGTTTTTGTGTGAAATCCTCCCCGTCTTTCAGATCACTTGCGTGCTATCTATATCCATCCATTGGTAGTCCCCGTAACTTGACAGTTTTCAACCAGCAACACAGTTGATTGGGTGAATGGTGGAATGTTGTGCTGTTAGGGCAGCTGCTAGAGTGTGAAGCTGTTGAAACTATTGGTTAAACGTTGAACTGTCGTCCAAATGAATGTTGAGCTGATATAACACAAGTTTGAATGGTGAACTGTTGTGCAACATGATTGAACGTTGAACCCTTGTCTGAATAAATGTTGAGCTATTAAAGATGCGTGATTGACTGTTGATGTAACATGTGTGAATATAGAACTGTTATAACTGAATGTTGAACGTTTTCCGAATGAATGTTAGAGACTTTATGACACATGGTTGAAATTGGAACTGTTATGCAACATGATTGAAGAACAATTATAGTTGACTGAATGTTGTGCTGTTATATGATCCACTGTTAAGCGGTTTTTAGCGGTTTAACGTTGAATTGCCAAATTTTGAAATTATATTCTTATATAGCAAAGGAGTGATTTTTGTGCCGTAGCTATGAACGAGTTAATGTTGTAACCCAATCAATGAATGTGCGGTGGTGACATAAGGGAAAGTTATGCTGTTGAGACATGCGGACTGATTCGGCTGCAACAACATTCAGTTAAATGCTCATCAACTAAATGCTAGATACTTGCTTTGTGCAATAGCCAGGCATAATAACAAGACTTGAAATACTTCACCCTGTCAGATCAGTGAGGTTGAAATTTCCAAGCTAGGACCGTATGGATACAATATTTCTGTTCTTGAAACAAAGGAGCAAACATTAGTGTGTAATGGCTAGTCATGCAGTGTTCTGATTATCTGACAGTTTTAAAGTGTTGTGGAATTCAGCATGTGACCCCAAAAAAAAAATGGCGTTGCTTTGCTTTTCTGTTTTATGTGGCATTTGTAATTGTTGGAATTGGTCATGTGAAAGACGTGTTTGTTACTTTTGCGTGCCGTTTATGCAATTTGTGCTCTCCAGTGTGCTGGCAGTGTGTGTGTATTGTTCCTGTGTGTGTCTTTGTGACAGGAGTGCTGTAGCCAGAATTTGATGCAAATCATTCATTGTCTCCAATATGTAGCAACTGCTGTATGGCATGATCTGTGTAGGAGAGTACGTATCTGTGATATTATAAAAATTACAACAAAAATGATTAACAAATATATGCTCAGGCATTCATGCAATTCATAACACTCATTTCCATCGGCAGATCAGTATTTTATTATTTACCTTTTTTAGTTTGTACATTTTTTTTGGGGGGGTTTTGTTTTTTTTTGTGAAAGAAATTAACAAAAATATGTAATTTCCCTGTTATTGGTATATTATTATTACTTTTACAATTTATTATTATTTTATCAATTTTGCTTAATGGTGGCATTGTGTGAAGCAATTGTCGTGAATGTAATGTTTTCCACACAGTTTTTCATCGAAGTCAAGAGAAAGTGCCTTTTGAAGAACTTGATTGAATCTCTACAATTACATGAAAGTGTCGTGCACCAAGAGTTCAGGAAATGTATTTTTCAGAGTCAGTGGGGTGCTTGTGTGCATGCATGCAGGGGTGGGTTTCTCGACGACCTGTCTCGTCTTGTAGAGACTTGACCCAGTATGTAGTTAACCAGTTAATACATTTGTATATTTATACTTTTGCTGAGGTTTTTCTAACAAAAAATATATTTATATATTTTTTAATGTTGGGTTGTGTAAAAGTGTGTGTGTGGTGATCATTGAGCAGCTAGTGTGTGATTTGTTGTGTGGCTGTGTGTGTGTGTGTGTATGGTTGTTGTGTAGCAAGGTGTAATTTAAAAAAGTCGAGCATTGATTCAATTGCACCTGGTATTAGCTAGTTTGCCTCAGTCTGGCTCTGGACTATGGCTAGATGCTTGCTGAGGGCATCACTCAAAGCAGAGTTTGCATTTATGAACCAGCCTAGCTCATGCATTGAAGCCACAGCCTTCAGGGTGTAAGATAAAGGGTTCGATCCAGAGATTATTCCCCCCCCCCCCCCTTCCCATCTGAAATCTGAATGTCAATCTTTGCAGCTTCTTATGTGGTAAAAGTAAAGCTCAATTTTCACGCCTTTCAGCGCATCGGGCATATGGGCAGAGCGTCCCATATTTTTTTTATATGTGGTAGGAAAAGGATAAACCCCCTCCTGCATTTTAATCTAATTATCAGTGAAGATTTTTTTGTTTGTAATTCACCATCAGGATATTTGCATATAAACTTTAAAGGGTCGGACGAGTAACTTGTTTAATATTTTTTAAATATTATTTTTAAGGAAGATGCATAAAGAGATCCATGTACAAAGTAACACCATTTATCCATATTTCTTTACTGGGGGGATTAAGTTCTGTCTCTGTGCATTCGATAAAGAATTAAAGATAGAGAAAGCTTCTTGTCTCATTAAAGAATAAAAAGTACTTATATTTGATAAACCAGAATATGGCAAGCACTTCTGTTTTTAAAGAAATTAGGACTGGTTTTTTTCTCTTGTTATTTTAAATGTTTATTCACTTTAAAGATCTTTTTCTTTCTTTGCTCTGCACCAGAGAGCCGTCTTCCTAGTCTGTTATTTTAAATTCATTGAGAGATTGACTCCTTTATTTTTATTTCCATACATGCAGTTAACAAACCTCCCCTTGTTGGCAAGAAGAATCAGGATGCAAGACGTCATTGGCTTTCATAATCTCAGGGTTTGCCATTATCAAAATATGATAGTGTGTAGTTGTGTGTGCTGTTAGCTGTGTGTGTATGTGAGTGGATCTTTGACAATGTGTGCGTGTCGGAAGTGTGTGTGATTATTTTATATTTTTAAATACTGCAGTGGCACATTACTGAATTTTGACAAAAATTAAAACCTGAAAAAAAAATTGTCTTTGATTTTTGTTTTGTGTATCTAACAAAGTTGTGTGGCGCTGTTCAGCTGCCCTTGTTCTAGATGCTTCACAGATCGTTGCACCATTTCGGAAATATAAAGTCCTGTCTTGTGCTGCAGCCTCCCAGGTGTCAGGATTTATACTGAACACTTTCAATGATGTCTTTAGTGTGTCTTTGAAGAGCTTTTTCTGGCCTGCATGAGAACATCGGCCTTCACGTATCTTACCCTAGAAGATTTTTGGGGTGGGGGGGCACATGACTATATGCATTCGAACAATATGGTAAGCCCATCGAATCTGTGACTGACTGCATCAGGATGGTATTGAATGTCCAAAATATCGGGAAGGCTAACCCGGCCAACAAATTCCCGCAGAAGTCGGATGTGTTGACCGAAAGGTGTAAATATTGCAGCCATGCTGTAAACGGACACAACGCAATTACATCTTGGGATAAACGCAGAAGTAGAAGAATGTCCAAAACAGTTATCTTTCTACGATGGTGCTCGGGTTCCCTGGACGATCTCTATTTTCCACTGCTCTCTAACACCCTTTTCAGCGATTTTTAGAGTTCTGGTCCAAAGACTGAATCCCTATCACAAGCAGCTGCAATGTAATAAGTCCGCTTTTCCATTTCAAGGGGGAAAAACAAAGTCAGTCACATTCCTCTTTCTGTGAATAGCGCTGGTTACATTATGGTCTGGTTTATTTGTGCCTTGGCTACCTTTTTCCCCCGTCCAGGTAACATATGATGACACCCAAACATTTTAACCTATAGGGTGAGCCCCACCCCCGGCTGTAGTTGGGTGCCTAATATAACCTAATTGTCTGAACGCGGTTTCTGGGACATCTCCACGGTGATCCTCATCCG